TGGTTCAAGCGAGGAGCAAGGAAACGACAAATAAGAGACTTGAGAAGCACCCTTAGAGTCAGTATGAACCAATCAGACGTCTCTTTCTCTCCCTTTGTCTCTCTTCCAGCACAAGCACTTCACAGAGGACATTCAGACCAGACAGTACAGAGCTCTGGAGGTTCTGATTGGAGCAGAGTACGGACCACCTGCTGACATCTGGAGCACCGCCTGCATGGTACACACACACACTGCAGGTCTTGGTATCAGTAGACCCGTACTGTCGGCGTTTGTGTATTGATGTATTGATTGATGTTCCAGGCCTTTGAGTTGGCGACAGGAGATTACCTCTTTGAACCTCATTCAGGAGAAGATTACACCAGAGACGAAGGTACTACACATAATACTCATACTTTAAACATTACTGAAGTCTTATCGGACTACACTAGTATTACACTCAGCATAAAGGTACAACTCATAACAAACAGTACTGCTGTGTACTAGCGAGTACTTCAGTGTGTATTTTTATTATTTGTGTGCAGATCACATCGCTCACGTCATCGAGCTGCTCGGACCGATTCCTCTGCCCTTCGCTTTGTCTGGCAGGTACTCCAGAGAGTACTTCGACAGGAGAGGTGAGACAGTCTGTTTGTGTGCTCCCGTCTCACCTGTGTGCTCCCGTCTCACCTGTGTGCTCCCGTCTCAGGTGAGCTGCGTCACATCTCCAGCTTGAAGCCGTGGGGTCTGTTTGAGGTTCTGTTGGAGAAGTACGAGTGGCCTCTGGACCAGGCGGCTCAGTTCAGCGACTTCCTGTTGACCATGTTGGAGCTGCAGCCGGAACGCAGAGCGACTGCAGCTCAATGTCTGCAGCACCCATGGCTGCTCACATAGACACTCACTGATACACACAATGAACTACACACTGATGTACACACAGACACTTACTGATGAGGTTATAAATCTGTCAGTTGATTTCATGTGAAGAGGGAAGTTATCGCCTCGACTGAGATTTAAATGTTTTATTTGGTAAGTTATCCTGACAATCACTCGATGGATCTATGGATATAGCGTCGGGTGTAACTTCCCTTCTTCTGAAATCAGTTTCTGAAAGTGTTTCTGTTGTAACTGATTTCCTGAGTTCTGGTTCTGATCTTTGGTTCTGTGTCTTTGTTTTAGATTCGACTGATTTTCTGCCTCAAAGTTTCCATGTGAATTCTGCTGTTTGTTGAATTGTGCCGAGTTTGTATTTTACAGACGGCCTCTTATTGTCTATTGATCAGAGACTCCCTGATGATGAAGACTTTAGAAGGTTTAGATGAGCACACTGTAGCTTCCGTAGAGCAGCCAACCTTCTCACTGACGGTTGGTATTGTTTGTATTGACAGTATTGATCCCTGTAGCTCAAACCTCACCTGTTTCTATGTTCATGTAATAAATAGTGCCTTAAAATGACCCCGGAACCCCCTCTTCCTGTCAGTGACATCACCAGACATTAATGTTTTATATTTCTTTGTTTGGACTATTTCTTCTTGTGAAAATAAAGATGAAAGCTGGTCTGAGATGTTTGCTTTGACCTCTCACCTCTACCATGACTTCAGTATTAAAATGATCGTGCATCACTTGATGTTGAAGGGGGGGGGGGGGGCACATATCCGTAGTAAAAGGGAAGTCTAGAACCGTAAATTACATTTATAGGACCACAATAACAAAAAAAATCCTGTTTTTACCCATTTTTGAAACAACAGAAGCCGTGAATGAAACGCTGACATTTAATATACAGCCCTCGTACGATGTGATGTCAGTGTGACGTGACGTCATAATGTAGGAGTACAGTCAGATTATCGAGTGACGTCGCCCAGGACACAGTGAAGTCAACAGGTTTAATATAAAAACACGAGTGAGTCGGTGCGATGAAGCTTTCTCCTTCAGATCCAGACTGCAGCAGAAGAACACCGGCACTGTGCACACCGTCACACACGGACCCGTCCACAATGTGCAATGTCAGCTGATTCTGAGTTCAACAGTTCATACTGCGCTACGTGTTCCTCTTCACTTCTTCTTACGCACAACCGTCCACCCGGCCTCTTCATCACGAGGAGGAGGAGGATCTCTGCTGCTGACTGATGGAACGGAGGATTCACACTCCATCACCTGAACACACAAACATTCATTACTGTAAGATACAAACTCCTGATTTATGTGACCGTCATTTACAAAAGAATGATCTGCAACGTAGTGAAGAATAGAAACTAAGTAAAGTACTTTGTTCATTTACACCAGCGACAGAGTTTTATATGAACAGACTTTAAAAGGATGACGAGGTGTAATATTTAGTAAGCAAACGGTAAACATTTAAAAAAAAGGAACAAAACATGTAAGAGCGAAAACAATTAGTCAACAAAATAAAGGAAAGAAAACTACTACTTTGAAAATCTGTTCTAATTAATTTTTTCAAATAAAAACATGAAAGAAAATCCCGTTTCTGGATGCATCTTCAGTTTTTCATACTTATTTAGCATCACACTATGACATCACACTATACCAGTGGTGGGCCGTCAGGGCCTGCAAGGCCTTCTCTGTTGGCCTAAACAGAATCACAAAATTATATTTAATAATGTTTCTGAAATACACTACATGTATTATAATTTATGAAAATATGTTTCCCATTATCTTATGTTCTCATTGCACAGCTCCTGTCTTCCTCAGTTGCTCTGCTTCCAGTGCAGCTTGTTTTAAGTAGAGCTTTTATCCAATCAGATCTCACCTCTGTGTCTCTAGGTAAGAACAGAGGCCTGCAGACTCACAAGTGAATCCATGTGCAGTTTAAGTGAATGGGGACGATATTGTTGATTGTCATAGTGTTCAACCAATCAGAGCTTTAGTTTGACATGTTGGGCGTATTCTTTGACGTGTCAGTGGTACCCAGGTAGCCTCTAAGTACGTCTGCATTAACGTGCGCCGTGATTGGTCAGTGGGCCAGCGTGACTTTTGTCAAACAGAAAGCTAGCTAGCAGATCTTAGTGTTTAGTAAGAGTTCAGGTTGAAACATATGGAAGAGAAGTTATGACATTTTTAGTGTTTTGCTTGCTGTAGATTGTTTTTTTTTAACCTCGCTTTGTTTTTTAACTTCAATGGCTGAAGGAGGAGAAACAGATTTGTGAGTTACGAACTTTGTTAAAGAAAGGAGGATGGAATTTGTCTTTAAGTGAAGGCAGCTGTGGTAAGTGAACTGCTTTTGTGTTTTTACATCTGCTGTAGCGTTTCTACTGTGTTCATATGTCTATCGTGTCGTTTCTATGAATAATATAATATGAACAATATGAATAGCTCGTGCTCTAGTGCTGCAGGTCTGCTGGATTGATTTGTTGCCATATGAATATATGTGACTGGTTCTTGTGAGTTTGTTCTTGTCATTGTGTTAATTACATTCTGACTTGTCCATTAATGACGAAGCATCCTGTCATCGCGGGGTTATTTCGGACATTTGATTCTCTGAGGTTTTGTTTTCTTTAACAAAGCAGGAATGATGGTTTGGAGGAATGGGGATTGTTTGAATCAGTAGGAACAGCTGAACGCTGTGGGGAGAGTAAAATGCACGGCCCAATACTATGACAGAGTATCAGGTAAGACGTACCTGTGTTTCATCACCGCTGTCTTCATCAGAGTGTGTGGGCGGAGCTGTGACCCTCTGACTCTTCTTCTGTGTCAGAGTGTTGATGGTTTGTTGGAGCTGCTCTAGCGCCCCCTGCTGCCACTGACTGAAGGCCTGGACCAGACTGTCACACACCTGGAAACACAGGTTTCACATCATGATTTACACCTTTCAGATGTGTTGAAGCTGCATTCTCTCTAGTGTCCACCAGGGGGCGACTCCTCTGGTTGTATAGAAGTCTATGAGAAAATGACTACTTCTCTCTTGATTTATGACCTCAGTAAACATTGTAAACATGAGTTTATGGTCTCAGTCTCTAGATTCAAGTCTTCTTCAATACAGCATGATGTTCATTTAGTACATTATGGTCCATTTAGAGTCAAACAGACCATAAAGCAGGGGCTACACAGTGATTGACAGGTCGACACCACGTTGAACTTTAACCCTTTCACAATGTTTTTACTTCAATGGTCTCATTCAGAGTTCATCCTGTGTGTGTGTGTGTGTGTGTGTGTGTGTGTACCTGCGGTAAACTCCCATCATCCACCACTGTGTCAAACTCTTGATCCATCAGTTCAGCAATGAAGTCCTCCACCTCGCACTGCTGCAGGTCAGCTACACAGAGCGAGAGAGCGAGTTTAGTTATTATTAGTTGAAACATGAACTGATTTAACTTGTTAAACATCCAGCAGTTAAAGTTTAAAATTAGTCTTTGGGTCTTTAAACTAGACTCAAGATTAAGTCTTAAAATTAATTTCAAACGCGTTTGATATTTGGGAGTTGAACAGAGTACCCGAGCAGGTAGAGAACAGAGTACCCGAACAGGTAGAGAACAGAGTACCCGAACAGGTAGAGAACAGAGTACCCGAACAGGTAGAGAACAGGTAGTGAACAGAGTACCTGAACAGGTAGTGAACAGAGTACCTGAACAATAAACTGCTGTTGACAGGTTTCGTTACTTACCGTTGTCATGGAAATACTGCTGGACTACATCCACCATCCAATCAGCTTTCTGCTGCCCGTACACGCCTCCAAACCCGTTATCCACCGCAATCTGAGGACACAAAAGCACACATCTGAGAGTTTGAGTCCGAGTCTGAGATAAAACCCTAGAGAGGTCCGGAGACCCTTACAGAGTTCCAGACCCCCCCAGAGCAGTGGTTCCCAAACCTTTTAGGCCACGCACCCCCTTCTACATCCCGACTGAGTTCACGCACCCCCAATCCCCCACACCTTCAAAAAAAAAAAAAAAAAAAAAAAAAAAGCAACAGAGGATAAAAATCGGCCCAATGAGAGAACAGTTTGCTTGCGCGTGGCGTTTGTTTACAAGATAAAAAACATCTTCCTGCACCGTGCCTTCGAAAAGGTAACGGACGTACACCAGAAGATTGGCCAGATTGGCCACATGTGTAGTCTCAGATTGGGACAAAGCATCTGTAGGAAATTTGGGTTTAGAAGTGTGTTTTAAGAAATTCCAATAGAAGTGTTTAATGATTCATAATTAAGAAATCATAATTAGAAGTGTTTTGGAATACATAATTAGAAGATTCATAATTGTAAGTGTTTTAGAATTTGTAGTTAGAAGTGTTTTGTAGTTAGAAGTGTATCTTAGTAGAATTTGTAGCACCTTTATATTTGTTTGTGAAACTTGTGAAGGTTTTTGCCAAAAGTTGCAAATCCTTATCTTTATATAGAAAGTTTATCGTAGGAGTGTTAAGCCATAAAAGACAGTCATTGAATGTATTAAACTGTGAAGAATAGCCAAGGGAAAGTCAGACTTCTAGACAGACATTTGCAGGTTGTACCCGCGCGAGGGTTTTCGGAAGCCTGACGCCAGGAGGAGGCAACCGAAATTAGCCAATAGGAATTAAGATGGACAAAAGGGGGGGGAGATTTCAAACTGTATGAGGAAGTGCTGGAAGGGCTATTCGCTCTCTTCTTGCTCGGCTCTCAGCGTGGAAACATCTGGGTTTTCAGGCTGAGTCGCGAGTGAATAGCTTTTCCGCGCGGATCATATTATATATTCTGTTAGTAGTGTACTTCATTCTGTAATTGTATTAGCTTCAGTAGGATTAAATACTTTTAATTGTAAACCAGTATATGGTAGATATATTAAGAAGCAACTCTACTGTAAAACAGTGGAGCGTGCTCTCCGGCCTTCTCTCGTTGGGGAAGATCTCAGCCTCCACACATCGATGCGGCGACGCAGTGTTGTTGGACACCGGGATCACGTCCAACTTGTTTGCTTCTCTCTCTCCAATCATACATTCCACCATCTCTTTGGCAGCTGGCAAGCACACGTCTTCGGCGATTGTGTGAGGTAGCCTCTTTCTTGCTATTCTGTGACCAGATATGAAGCCCGCAGTGCGTTTTATGTAGACCCAACACATGAATGAGACTGCAGTTGTTTTGGGCTGTAACTCCTCCAATTTCGATATACAAATGTAAGGGGCTTTTGACTTGCACTGGCATGCTTGGTGTTCAGGTGGCGACGTAAATAAGAGGGCTTCAGACAGCTGTTAGCCAGAACCTCACTGCACACCACGCACTGTGGCTTTGGGCAATCTGCATTGCCAATCCAAGTGAAGCCCAGACCCAGATCATTTTCATCATACTCCCTCTTCTTTCACCTTGACTCCGGGATGGGCTCTCTCTCTCTCTCTCTCTCTCTCTCTCTCTCTCTCTCTCTCTCTCTCACACCCCCTAGAGGCAGCTCCACACTTTGGGAATCCCTGCCCTAGAGAGTTCTGGACCCCCCTACAGAGGTACGGAGACCCCCACAGAGTTCCCAACTGATCACTCATTTGTTGGAGTCCAATTCTACAATTATAGAAGAATAAAAACGTTATTGGATGAAAGTTAATGTTGAGAAAGCATCAAATTACACGTTTATCACGTGTGTAATAATAATAATAGTAAACTGACGTCATCCAAACGCGTCTGAAACATCATGATCTCAGGATATCTATAGTACATCAAACATTCATCTCATCAGGAGAATAACCGCATCTCACACACCTGTTAGCACTAGCCTGTTAGCATCGTCCCGTCAGTAACAGTCGCTCAGGAGTGTGCTCTGTCTCATATTTACCTGTAGAACCGGCCAGCTGTGAAGAACCGCTCTCACTCCAGCCGTGAAGAGCTCACGTGAATGGTTAGAAGCCGCCATGTTGGATCTGACAGACTCAAAGAGTCGAGTGAAGAAACGGATCCGGATCAGACAGAAAGAGTCGAGTGAAGAAACGGAAGAAATTTCCCCCTGGGGATGAATAAAGTATACATCTATCTATCTAATTTGAGTCAATGACTGATGAATTATTTATTAATTAAATATAAATTATATACATACATACATACATTATTATTATCATTAACCAAAGAGACTAACAGGAGACTCGTTCTATGAGCTGCTTCTCACCTACAGAGAAACTGAAACTCACTCTATCAGCTGTTATGGTCACATGACAGCTTGATAATGATAGTTTGATAATAAAGAGGTAATGACTGAGTAATAACGTGGTATTAACGAGCATATCTGGGTAATACTACACGTAGTTTACAGAGTTGTACGGGGAAAACAAAGAGTAATAACACATCCAGGTAGAGCCGGTTGTCCTTTGACCACAAGGATGCAGGTTCGATGCCCGGCTCCTATTGTCCACACGTCCAGGTGGATGATTAAAGTTCATGTATGTATCTGTTTATGATCATTGTATTAAAGTGTAATATGTTTATTGCTGTGACTCGTTACCTGTATAATAACAGGTTTACCTGATCGAACAGGATATTGGAAATCATTGGAAGTGTTGAGTCTCAGGTTCACACTCGGATGGTTGTTGGTAGACGAGGAGACAGAAGTCGATTTAATCTATAGGGAATCGAACCGTGGGTTAGTGCCTTGCTCCTGAGCACACAGCTACTCAGCTGTTAACATCAGAATACATCTTTAATTAACAAGCAGCTGAAATATTCAGCAGCTCCTCCACAAATATCTGCAGACGTCAGGAATCATCTTCGTCCTGTTGGCTCCGCCTGCCGACCATACAAGGACATAAGCTCCGCCCCCTGCCTGTCAATCATCAGCTGAAACTGTGATGATTATTTTTCATAAATCCAACTATCATCTCGGAGCATTGCTGGGAGATGTAGTTCCTGGTTCTGCTCCTTCTCTCACAGTAAACAATAAAGTCATAATTTGTATTCTTGAGAGTTTGAACTTAATAAATAGTCCAGAAAAGTGAGTCTGGATCGACCCCCATCACCTCCTGGTCTACATGTGGAACACAGGCGGTCGTATTGTATTCATACTAGTTTGTTTCTCTACTTCTGATCTGGTTTATGCTCTTAGATGCTTGTTTAAAGGAGATGCACTTATAACTTCTGGTGGTTAGTAGTTCTCTTGAATACCATGTTGAATACTGTAATGGGTTTGGTAAAGACCCAGGAGCAGTACGACAGACACCAGGGATAGTTTGAATCAGAGCTGTATTTTCCTCTGGACACACAACAGGTAAAAGAATCACAGTGAAAAAGCGGCAGGATCTCGTGGTCGGGAACAGAAGGCTGAGTGAATTACCAGGGCAGAAGCAAGGCGGGGTAGTCCAAAACAGGCAGGGTCGGTAACGGGGGAATCAGTCCAAGTGTATGTGCTGGAAGGTCTTGCATGAAAGCGGAGAACGATCTGGCAGTGAGCGTGTGTGAGACTGGGGTTTAAATAGTGGGTGTAGCAGAGTGAGCAGGTGAGAGTAATGAGCTGATGAGCTGGGTGTGACTAGCAGGTGCACTGAATGAACTGATGAGGTGAGTGAGAGATGGAAAAAACAGGATAGTAGTGGCAGAGCTGTGACAGATACACTTATTGTAAGTCGCTTTGGATAAAAGCGTCCGCTAAATGACTGTAATGTGACTAATAAACCAACGACTCAGCAAACTTCACCCTGAGGCCCCTCCACTTCCTGTTCCTCACATTAAATGACTCGAGGCGTCTGATTGGCTGAACAGAAAGCTAACATGCTAATGTTTAGCGTGTTACCGTGTTGTAGCCTACTCATCTAATTACTGGGGATGTTCACGATTAGTCGATTAGTCAATTCAACATTGCTCCATATTATTGTATTAATGTACATTTAAATTACATATTGACATATTCTCACACTGAAACTGGCTTACTAGCTAGCTAGCTGGCTAGCATGCATGCTAGAGACAAAAGCTAGCAACCTAGGGCGCTATGATCATCGATGCTAACGTCAGATAGCTCATTGAATCAAACATGGACTCTTCTTAGACCACAGTCGACACATTTCTAACCTGGCCAGAGAAGACTGGGCACTTATTGATCTGAGCTGCGCAAAATGCAGCATTGTGTGTATTATAAAATGTCTTTTATAATACACACAATATTTGTTGGGACAATGTTTGAGTTAATGGATTAAATTGTATTCAATGTTGACTGTTTTCTGACTTTTTAAGAAACTTTTAGACTACTCAAATAGTCAAATTTACAACTTTGTTTCAACAGAAATTAGTCGTTAGGAGAATTCCATTCTACTGATGAGTTTTATATTAGCGCATTAGCTTGCGAACATTAGCTAATTATTAGAAAACAGCTAAGGCTGATGGAAATGTCTTTAGTTCTGCAGGGGTTTGTTCATAAACCAAAGTATTGGACACATTAATATGTTGACCTCATGATGAAAAGTCAGAGGATCAATAAAGTTATTGAAGTTCATCCCGAGGGGAAGATGAACGGTGAAAATCCATCAATTAGTTGTCTACATGTTTCAGTATGAAAGGCAGTGGAGGACAGACAGACAACAGCCACAGAGACGAGCTGCTAATGTGTAAATGTTTTTATTTCAGTTTTCTTGTTGAACTGTGAATGTCAGTACTTCAGATTGTAGTTTCAATACCTGACATTTGTAGTAATACTGTAGTAATACTACAGTAATACTGCAATGCTACTGCGATCTGTCAGGTTCAATCTTTGTCTCTCCGTTCTGTTTATCATTTAGAGGTCGTTGAGACACTCTGGCAGCATGGACTACAGCCTGCAACACAGCAAACATTAAAACAGGCAACAAAGCAACTCAGCAACTATCAGGCATCAAAGTAAGTTGTGTTCACACCTTGAAGCTCCTCTTCCTCTTCTGCACGTTCTGTTCGGGGTGACAAATAATGACGTAAACCTTTGGCATGTAGAGCATCCCGAGAGAGACGAACGCACTGAGAGACATGGAGACGGTCAGCGTGGCAGTCTGGATGAACATCTGTAGGCAAAAAGAGACATTTAGACCCAAGACCCAGAGAACCTCTTCAATAGCACAAGAACAACCTACAGGACCCAGAGGACCTCTTCAATGACAGAGGAACCACCTACAGGACCCAGAGGACCTCTTCAATGACACAAGAACCACCTACAGGGCCCAGAGGACCTCTTCAATGACACAAGAACCATCAACAGGACCCAGAGGACCTCTTCA